CTTCTTCACCAAGATCAGGCGGGACTTCTTCACCAAGATCAGGTGGGACTTCTTCACCAAGATCAGGCGGGACTTCTTCAACAAGATCAGGTGGGACTTCTTCACCAAGATCAGGTGGGAATTCTTCACCAAGATCAGGCGGGACTTCTTCACCAAGATCAGGCGGGACTTCTTCACCAAGATCAGGTGGGACTTCTTCACCAAGATCAGGTGGGACTTCTTCAACAAGATCAGCCGGGAATTTTTCACCAAGATCAGTTTTAGGATCGTTAGAAAAATATTTCCCGGAAAACACGGAGCAATGGTTTCCATTTTCAGCTTCAGACGTAATGGAGTAATTCCACAAGAAACTTAACACAGCTGCAATCTCTTGAACTGCTGTAAAGCGAGCTGTGAGACCAGCTGTGAGTCCCTCTCAATAGTTGATTCCCCCTTTTCTTACCTTCTTTCCTTTTTGCTTGAAGCTTTGGATAACCGGATCTATTTGCTTTAATTTCAAAAATGTATCCTGGAAGATGTTTTGTGAAATTTTAAACCAGTTGAACTGTTCAATGTTCAGCCCTGTAAAGGCACGTAGCAAGATATTAGCTCAAAACAGGAACTTTAAATCGAGTGTACACTTCACTGTATCGGCAATAGTTCTCTTTCAGTTCCAGATACATTTTTGACTGTACCCAAATCGTAAGATAATTTAATGAACAGTCCTGGTGCGCAGTTTAGAATCAATGGACTAGTAAAAGAATTTCCGCCCTTAAGGCCCCCCCCCCCATCTGAATGGGGCCCCAACTGACTTATCTAGTCCCCTCGGCCTCTGCACGGTCCTGGTGTGGACAGTAGAATACTTAGTCGCCCGTAAGTTGTCGATGCTACAGCCGCAGTCGTAGAAATGTTGACGCTATTCTCTGAATCCACCGCCATCTTTTTTTTGTTTTTGTTGCTGGTAAAGGTATAGCATATACATCAACCCTGTGCAAGACTGACGGCAGCAGTGTGTCCATCATAGAGGACTTGGGAGGTTACCGGTGCATCAACACAGCCGCCCACGAACTGGCACACAGGTGAAGTAAATAGAATAAGTTGTGTAGTCCATCCATGGGGTTGAGTTGGGTCACATAAGAAGTTGTAGTCTATCCATGGGATTGAGTGGGACATAGCAGAAGTAGTAGTATATCCTTTGGACTGAGTGAGCCGAAGAAATAGTAGTAGTCTATCCTTTGGACTGGGTGGATCACAGAAGTCGTAGTTATCTATCCATTGGTTGAGTTAGCCACAGAAGTAGTAGTAGTCTATCCATGGGAATTATAGACGTGTAGTGTTATATATTAATTTCATAGCATAGTTTTTTTTTGTATGGTTAGATTAGTTATCATGACTGTGTACTTACTGGTTAAGATTAGTTATCATGACTATGTACTTACTGGTTAGATTAGTTATCATGACTGTGTACTTACTGGTTAGATTAGTTATCATGACTGTGTACTTAGTGGTTAGATTAGTTATCATGACTGTTTACTTATTGGTTAGATTAGATATCATGACTGTGTACATATTGACCTTATTATTGCTGGAGTATTTCGTGATTGTTTTAATCAGGAAATGTGTTGGCTGTTTTAGAATACGTGCAATTCTTTATAAGAGATTGACATCATCTCCATGGCATCATAGAATCCCACCGTTGATGAATTCATTTTTGTACCAATGTGTCGTATTTTATTTATTATTTTAAAATAAACAAAATTACTGTAATATGTGTGGTGTTAAAATATAAAATAATTTTTTTTTTTAATGGCGGGGTAACTCGAGTATCGAGTACATTTTAGATGTAGTAACATTGAATGACGGTAAAGTTTAAGCGTCCCTCTCAGCGCTGCATGGAAAGAATACATTGCGCCGTATTAACTATAGTATAAGTGACATAATCATTTTTACCTGTTTAATGACGATTTTTCTTGTGTTTATTCTCAAGTGCCACACCCCTCTCCCCATCTTTTTTTCTTCTCCCAAGGCTCGCAACCTCACATTTGGTCCCCCCCCCCAGAACTATATTAACATTCTAATAACCCACCCAACCCCAAAAGCCAAGGCTCGCAACCTCACATTTGGTCCCCCCCCAGAACAGTATAAGTGACATAATCATTTTTACCTGTTTAATGACGATTTTTCTTGTGTTTATTCCCCAGTGCCACACCCCTCTCCCCCTCTTTTTTTCCTCTCCCCACACCAACCAAGCACTCTCCCCCCCCCCAGACAACCCACCCCCCACACAACCTACCTCCCCCCACAACCCCCACCACACACACACTCACCGTGAACCCGAACATTTCAGCCTGTCCGCCCAGCACGATAGTGAAGGCAATTCATGTAGCTTCTCCCAACAGTACATCATGGCGGCCTCCAACGCACAGCTGACGCCCACCACACAGTACAACCCTTGGCAGTTCTCAAGCTGCAGTGTTGGGTATTTCACATCCTACATTCAAACGCTGATGCTCACTTCGTAAGTTCAATTTTTTTTTTCATTTTGTTGTTGTTTTTAACTATTTGAGCTGACCATGTTTTCACCGGTCAGAATATAAAGCAAAGCCAGTCTTTCTATCAAGTTTTCAATAACTTCATCTGATCAATGTCTATATGTTTTGGTTTCTTTAACTACAATAAAAAATCTTGTATCTTTGATTAGCGAAATAGCTGTACGATTGTACTTAGCTTGGTCTCAACAAGGCATAACTTGGTCTCAACAAGGCATAACTTGGTCTCAACAAGGTATAACTTGGTCTCAACGAGGCACACCTTGGTCTCAACGAGGCACTACTTGGTCTCAACGTGGCACAACTTGGTCTCAACGAGGCACAACTTGGTCTCAACGAGGCATAACTTGGTCTCAACGAGGCATAACTTGGTCTCAACAAGGCATAACTTGGTCTCAACAAGGCATAACTTGGTCTCAACAAGCCACACCTTGGTCTCAACGAGGCACACCTTTGTCTCAACGTGGCACAACTTGGTCTCAACGAGGCACACCTTGGTCTCAAGGAGGCACACCTTGGTCTCAACGAGGCAAAACTTGGTCTCAAGGAGGCACACCTTGGTCTCAACGAGGCATAACTTGGTCTCAACGAGACACAACTTGGTCTCAACGAGACACAATTTGGTCTCAACGAGACACAACTTGGTCTCACTGAGACCTAGAAATTAGTTAGCTCTTCCGTTTATCGATCATTTAAAAGTATTAGTTCAATTTCTCAATGGACGCGCCGAAGATGGCGACATTTCAGTCAACAGATGCCGTTCAATAGATGCGCAGCCATTTTCCACAGAGTAATTCCACACTCTTCATCTGACATGTGCTTCCATTGCTTTTCTCTTGCTAAAACAAGTTCAAACAACCGCGGTATGGGTCAGTGCGTTTGCTTATAAAACATTACAGAGTTATGCGCAGTATCATGTTGCCGCGGATATTTTTGGCAACTTAATTCTTGTCTAAAGTCGCAGCAGCCATCGTAGCAGAGGTCATAGCAGTCGTCGTAGCAGAGGTCATAGCAGCCGTCGCAGCAGCCGTCGTAGAGAATGTTAAGGCCTCGCTCAACCTGTTAGTCATATCTGCTACATCTTCTCATCTCTTTGGTGTAATTTTCCTTCCATTTCGACGGGCGCTCTCTTCGGATCTGTTTTGTTGTGTTTCAGAATCATATAAAGTTGTAAACTGTGCATTAAAAAACTTTCTTTGTGTTTAACGAAACAATTGGGGTCGTGCATATAGCGTAAATTAAATGATTGAAAAAATGTCTGCAATTTTTAAAAAAGGAGTTTTTTGGTATTTTTCTATTTCTCTTTGTTTGAGTCCAAATTCACTTAATTTTTTTTTTATTACACATTGCCAATTGTATAGATATTTGTACGTTTTTAGACGGGGACAGACGTGTCTGACAGGTCGTCTGCCCATTGACAACAGCATCCCTGATGTCAGCGGTCGTTTGCTAGGACAACAGTACTCGCCCGATCAACAATGTCAGCTGATCTATGGGAGCCGATCTTATTATTGCAGGGTGAGTTCTCCCAAAAACTGGTACTGTCGGTCAAACGGTTGAAGTCAGGGTGAGTTCTACTCTGGGTTAAATGGATGAAGTAAGAGTGATTCTACTGTGGGTTAAATGGATGAAGTAAGGGTGAGTTCTACTGTGGGTTAAATGGATGAAGTAAGGGTGAGTTCTACTGTGGGTTACATGGATGAAGTAAGGGTGAGTTCTACTGTGGGTTACATGGCTGAAGTAAGGGTGAGTTCTACTGTCGGTCAAACGGTTGAAGTCAGGGTGAGCTCTGCTGTCGGTGAGTTCTGTAACAAACGTCTATGGTTTTGTTTTCCCTTTTAAATAACATTAACTACGCACAATTGAACCATCGGCTTTGAAAGTAGGGAGCCAAAGATTGACTACGTACAATTCAACAATCGGCTTTGAAGGTAGGGAGCCAAAGATTGACTACGTACAATTCAACAATCGGCTTTGAAAGTAGGGAGCCAAAGATTGACTACGTACAATTCAACAATCGGCTTTGAAGGTAGGGAGCCAAATATTGACTACGTACAATTCAACAATCGGCTTTGAAAGTAGGGAGCCAAAGATTGACTACGCACAATTCAACAATCGGCTTTGAAGGAAGGGAGCCAAATATTGACTACGTACAATTCAACAATCGGCTTTGAAAGTAGGGAGCCAAAGATTGACTACGCACAATTCAACAATCGGCTTTGAAGGAAGGGAGCCAAAGATTGACTACGTACAATTCAACAATCGGCTTTGAAAGTAGGGAGCCAAAGATTGACTACGCACAATTCAACAATCGGCTTTGAAGGAAGGGAGCCAAAGATTGACTACGTACAATTCAACAATCGGCTTTGAAAGTAGGAGCCAAAGATTGACTACGTACAATTGAACCATCGGCTTTGAAAGTAGGGAGCCAAAGATTGACTACGTACAATTCAACAATCGGCTTTGAAGGTAGGGAGCCAAATATTGACTACGCACAATTCAACAATCGGCTTTGAAGGAAGGGAGCCAAAGATTGACTACGTACAATTCAACAATCGGCTTTGAAAGTAGGGAGCCAAAGATTGACTACGTACAATTCAACAATCGGCTTTGAAGGAAGGGAGCCAAATATTGACTACGCACAATTCAACAATCGGCTTTGAAAGAAGGGAGCCAAAGGTAAAAAACTGCCTCACAAAATCGCGTGACGGATTTGATCATACCACCTATGCTAAACTTAACATATTCTAACGTTCTACCATCTTGTGCATTACCTGCTGGTGTGGGAAGTCCTCGCTTCTCACCAAAAAAAACCGACTAAACAGATTTGTCAAGATAACAATTCTTATAACTCCAACAAAAGTACATTTGCGTGAAGAACTATCGGAGGCAACTTTTATTTGTAAAAATATTATTTTTTTAAAAAGGGTTGGCGTATGCATCCCATCCTCTTCATCTCAAGAACCTAAGATTAGCTCGATCAGTGGGATTTCTTTCCCTCAAAGAAGGGACCGAAAGATACAAACATTTATTTGTTCACCATTCTATCAGAACTTACAAGCGCTCTCCGCCGGCCTTTACCAAACTTACTAAATCTATCTTCAAGTCAATATTGTCAGTAACTGAGTGAAGTTCCATGCTAAATGATGGCTGACCTTTGAGCTTGAGGAATACTTTAGATGTCCTGGGTTAAATTGTTCTAGTTAAAACATTGTTTGCTTTTGTAAGAATATTTATGTTTGTGCTGGAAATGAAGAGGTACATTGGCACAAGAACATTTCTATTTATTAGGATAAATACAAGAATTTTATATCTTTGTTAAGCCTAACATATCAAACCATCCACGTTGTCTAACATGTCATTCATCATGTTAGACCTAAGTATCATTCATTATGTTAAACCTAACGTATTATTCATCATGTTAAACCTAACATGTCATTCATCATGCTAGACCTAACGTATCTTTCATCATGTAAAACCTAACATGTCATTCATCATGTTAAACCAAACATATCATTCATCATTTTAAACTTAACATGTCATACCGTCTTTACTGCAGGGTTTAGGAAACAAATTTGAAACTATCTGCACGTCGATGTATTGTCTTGATCCGAAGGATAAAGACATGTGCTACAAGGTCTTCGCAATGGCGGGTACCACATGTGGCAGTGGCAAGGTAATGGCTACCACAAGCTGGTACAAAATGTGGCAGTGGCAAGGTAATAGCTACCACTAACTAGTACAAAATGCGTTACGAAATCTCAGCACTAGCTGGTACAACATGTGGCAGTGGTAACGTAATAGCTACCATTAACTAGTACAACATGATTGACGAAATCTCAGCAGTGGCTGGTACAACATGCGGCAGAGGCAAGGTAATAGCTGCCACTAACTAGTACAACATGATTTACGAAATCTCAGCACTAGCTGGTACAACATGCGGCAGAGGCAAGGTTATAGCTGGCACTAACTAGTACAACATGCTATACGAAATCTCAGCACTAGCTGGTACAACATGTGGCAGTGGCAAGGTAATAGCTGCCACTAACTAGTACAACATGCTATAAGAAATCTCAGCAGTAACTGGTACAACATGTGTTACGAAATCTCACCACTAGCTGGTACAACATGCGGCAGTGGCAAGGTAAATGTTTTCACTAGATCAAGAGTTGGCGCAGTTGTTGTTTGTTTGTTTTTTTGGCCATCATTCCAAATAATCTTTGTCTATACTAGGATGTTACCCTTCCCCATTTTTTGACTTAATTAACAAAAAACAACCACACATACAATGTAGCACATGTTATCGTAGCCGTAGTAATATCAACAGGTACAAAGTAAACTAAAAGTTATTCTGTAGAGAGAATGAAAGAAAAAAAAAAGTTCTAGAAGTTAGACGATAAATGAGTAGTTTCCAAAGTGAGGCTGTGACTGGCATTGTGTTACCAGGCAATGGTGTTCTTAGACAAGGGTGTTGTCGATAGGCAAGGCTGTTGGTAGGCAAGGGTGCTTGTGGGTAAGGGTGTTGGTGGGAAATTGTGTTGGCGGGTAAGGGTGTCGGTAGGCAGGGCTGTTTGATAGGTTAGGCTGTTGGATAGGCAAGGATATTGGTAGGAAAGGGTGTTGGTGCATGGGAAAGGGCTATTGGTATAGAAAAAGGGGATGTGGGTAGAGCTATATAAATACTGAGCCAGTTAGAGGGGCTGTTCACACCACCAATGACCAAGCGAGCACTCTCTCGCACAGCCCACGCACAGGAGCGTACTTCACAGACACACAAACAGTTAGCACACACATGCACAAAGTCACGGAAGAATGAATCACGTGATACTGATACGAACTTTAAAAAAAAAATATTTTAAAGAGAATGACATATTGTTCGTTAAAAAATTAATTTTTTAAATTAAATTCATAGCTAACATCCTCCCCGCCCACAGGTCTGCAGGTCTGGTCATTGCGTCGTCGACCAAAGAGCTCCAGCTGTGGACGGTAAGTCATTGGTTTATTTCCTCATTGTCTTTTCTCTATATTAACTATAAGCTCCTCGCTACGACCAATCGCAGTGGACTTACTTTTCTTTTCTCTTCCGTCCCATTCTGCCTGTATTTAATCTCTCGCCTACTTATGCCCTGTCACACTCCTCTGTTTACTTATGCTCTGTCACAATCCTCTTGCTTATTTATGTCCTGTCACACTCCTCTCGCCTACTTATGCCCTGTCACACTCCTCTTGCCTACTTATGCTCTGTCACACTCCTCTTGCCTACTTATGCTCTGTCACACTCCTCTTGCCTACTTATGCTCTGTCACACTCCTCTTGCCTACTTATGCTCTGTCACACTCCTCTTGCCTACTTATGCTCTGTCACACTCCTCTTGCCTACTTATGCTCTGTCACACTCCTCTTGCCTACTTATGCTCTGTCACACTCCTCTTGCCTACTTATGCTCTGTCACACTCCTCTTGCCTACTTATGCTCTGTCACACTCCTCTTGCCTACTTATGCTCTGTCACACTCCTCTTGCCTACTTATGCTCTGTCACACTCCTCTTGCCTACTTATGCTCTGTCACACTCCTCTTGCCTACTTATGCTCTGTCACACTCCTCTTGCCTACTTATGCTCTGTCACACTCCTCTTGCCTACTTATGCTCTGTCACACTCCTCTTGCCTACTTATGCTCTGTCACACTCCTCTTGCCTACTTATGCTCTGTCACACTCCTCTTGCCTACTTATGCTCTGTCACACTCCTCTTGCCTACTTATGCTCTGTCACACTCCTCTTGCCTACTTATGCTCTGTCACACTCCTCTTGCCTACTTATGCTCTGTCACACTCCTCTTGCCTACTTATGCTCTGTCATACTCCTCTTGCCTACTTATGCTCTGTCACACTTCTCTTGCCTACTTATTCCCTGTCACACTTATCTTGCCTACTTATTCCCTGTCACACTTCTCTTGCCTACTTATTCCCTGTCACACTTCTCTTGCCTACTTATTCCCTGTCACACTTCTCTTGCCGTCCTCTTGGATACTAATCAGCTTGCAGCTATTTTATTTTATTTTTACTGTTGTTTGTTCGCCGATGAAGGCTTCTTGCCGACACTTTTGGTGTTTTGTTGCGTCCTGTTTTTTTTCCTCTTCAGGTTTTCCCATACTTTGTCCCTTTCATTTCCTTTTTTTTTTTGCTAACTTCATTGCAGTCTCCCCCCCCACCACCCCCTTTTTTTTTTACCATAATCTATGTAACAACGTTGCATTTTCAGAGTAAGCAATTGCGTCCCCTTTCAAAGCCCTCTTGCGGAGCTAAATACATCAAAAGTTCCTGTTAGCAAGAAAGTCAACCTTTTGAACAGCTCGGAACTTTCAGACTCTGCAATTATCGCCCCTCCTCGAGCCATTTAAGTTCCGTAACTTTTTGAACGCACTTTGCCATATGGCAAGACAAAATAATGCGTTCAAGAAGAAATGTGACGCAAATTTAAACGTGTGAACTGAAAAAAAATAGTCGACAAAACTTCCATTCAGTCAAATTTCCGTCGATCAATTTTCCGTCGACGAAGTTTCTTTAAATCGACGCCATATTTGCCCTGCTATTCTTAGAAGGGGCTTTTTAAAAGCAACAATTATGAAATATTTCATCTGTGAAAACATCCTTCACATTTAACGGGTGTCTCCAAGAGTTGCCTCTTCCTTTGTTGAACATTTTGAAAATTAGATATTATTTCATCTGAAATCCAAACTATTCAAATTATGAACGGACGGTCAATTTTGACGGATAATAATATCAGTATTTAAATAAATTACAGGCCTGTTTAATGTATTGTTGGCCAGCAGCCCACAAAAAAAGTGAGGCAGCTTGCAATAAAAAACAAAACGCCCATAAATAATTCAAATTTGAAAGAAATCAAACCGACCAGTTTTTCCTATTCAAAGAAAGAGTTTTAAATCATTTCATATATTCAGTCTCTAGAGCCCATCTCATGTCTGGCAGTTCTTTTCATTATTTAGAGTGTGTGACTTTGGTGGTGGGGGGGGGGGGGATTAAGCAGCCTAGGGGGAAGGTTGTGTTTAATACTGTTCCAAATACCGCTGAATCAAACGGACTGCTCTCTTGAATTCAAGGTATGTCAGACTGCCCCCCCCCCCCACACACACACACACACGCAGTTCATAGAAAATTTGGGACAACATGATTGCCTTGACATCTAATGACCGACCAGGTATGAAACATGACGGGCGTGTCTTTCTGCTTGGCAGTTAGCATATCTTAAGTGGAAGGGCGACCAGGATCAGCGCACAAGAAAGCGCGACGCCGGACGGGAAGCCACTCGCGTGTGTTGGCCGTGGTCATGAGACAGTACGTCTTTCATGACACCACTTCTTTCATGACACTACTTCTGTCAAGACATTCATTCTTTCATGACACAACTATTTTCATGACACCACTTATTTCATGACACCACTTATTTCATGACAACAATTTTTTAATAACACCGATGGGCTCATGACACCCCTCTGTTAATGCCCAGCATGTTATGTGACCCCATTTTGTACATTCTACTATTCCACCTGTCAAATGTCGACGTGATCTATCGAAATGAAAACTTGAGAATGTTGAGGGTTTTCCGGGTTTAAATTTGTGCCGAACGCTAATGGCCCCCCGCTTGACCTCCACAGAGATCTGCATTCACGGAGAACAGTCTGGGGTCATCTACCAGAACATGGCGTGTCCAGCGCTTATCAGGAGCTCTCCTGGATACTGTTACAATGACGAACTTCGGTCACAGTGCTGCAAATCGTGCCAAACAGTTTACCAACCTATCAGAAGTAAGCAGCTGTTAGTTACGTTGATTAAAAATAAAGTTTGTAGCAGTGAGTGTAACATTGTTTGTGTTTTGGTTCGTGAATATTTATTGCCACTCTCCACACTTTTCCACATTCCCCATGCCTAATTGTTACTGAAGCGCACCATAATGCAAGTCCCATCCTTAAATCAAAAGCTTACGGCTTGCACGAATATATATGAATATATAAATAAGAAATTTTTTTCTTGTCGATACAGATACATTAGAAGCTGTGCGGTGAGCTGTTATAAGCAATTCTTGTGTTATTTCCGGCTGTTTCACGATCAACTGATTCGTCTCATTTCATCACTGATGTATCTGATAAATATATCACATTTTATGTTTATACTTTATAAATTTTCTCGTTTGTAAAATTTGCTACCTCGACAAACGTTCAAAATCTTAATTGTATAAAGCACATACTCGTAAATGTGCCACAGGTGAGGTGGGATGTTTGCCACAGGTGAGGGTAGGATGTTATTTTTATCTCATTTGACGTGGCCGTTGCTAATTTGATTGTCCATTGTTCTTTGGCGTCATCAACTTCGAATTAAAATTTCTATATCTTCCCTAACTTATCTGGATGAAGTTTTGTAAACACCGTAGTGCCCTGACACATTTTGAACACGCAGTAGAATCCTGGCACTTTTCGAACACGCAGTAGAATCCTGGCACATTTTGAACATACAGTAGAATCCTGGCACATTTTGAACATACAGTAGAATCATGGCACATTTTGAACATAAAGTAGAATCCTGGCACATTTTGAACATACAGTAGAATCCTGGCACATTTTGAACATACAGTAGAATCCTGGCACATTTTGAACATACAGTAGAATCCTGGCACATTTTGAACATAAAGTAGAATCCTGGCACATTTTGAACATACAGTAGAATCCTGGCACATTTGAACATACAGTAGAATCCTGACACATTTTGAACATACAGTAGAATCCTGACACATTTTAAACATACTATAGAATCCTGACACATTTTGAACATACAGTAGAATCCTGGCACATTTTGAACATACAATAGAATCATAACACATTTTAAACACGCAGTAATAAGTACCCTGACTCATTTTTGAACACACTGTAGTATCCTGAAAATGTTTAATATAAACATGTCTCACATAATTTGCTCTGCGTAAAAGTCCTCAACACTCTTTGCTCCCTCCAATTAGTGAATGCAAAACTTTTTTTACTTTCTCTCCTTGACCTTCTTTGCGCCTTGTGGTCGCTGGCAAATGTTCCATTCATCTACGTTTTGAACAAATTCTTTCCAGCTCACTTCAGTTCTTGTCGATTTTTTCACTGTTTCCGTCGGGCATCTACTTTATTGCCACGCATGGTCTTTCTCTTGTAGTAAAACCTGTGGATTCCGCAACAAATGC